TATAAATTTGGTCGTTAAAATAGCTTGGATTATTAGTTTAACTAATGCAAAATTTCGTAAACACCTTTGGAGAGATACTGTCTAAGGATTGTATAAAATAAGTTGCCATAAGACTATTTAAATTTAAGAAAGTCCATCAGAAATGCCTGAATACGAAAACGCTTAATTAATTTGCACGTATAATATATCAAATTACGAATTATATATTAGAAATGAACTTCTTGGTTATTAATAGTTACATAAGTTTTTTAGGAGTTGTGAAACACCATAATAATTAATGTATTGCTAATAGATAGATAGATGGATGAAAGATAACAGAAAAGTTAGTGAACATGAGAATTCGATTTAAAAATGGAAATAGTGAGTCCTTTGTACATTTTCTCCGAGGTTGAGTAAAGATCTGTTTAATTGTCTAACGGTAGTGTTTCAAATTGTGTACTTTTCTGCGTCACATAGTGTACTATTGTCAAAGATTCATCGCAGTTCGAAATACCTGGGTTTTACCCTAACACGATAAAAATGTTGGAAACTTATGTACAGTTAAAGGTAATATTGACACGCCTGTCTGGCATTGAAGTTACTGATTAATATGTTGAACGTTGCGGTATCTGTACTCGGTCGTTGAAAGGCCCAGTCAAGCTCTGCAATGTAGGTAAGATGAAATATGTCAATAATGATCTTGAAATTCTTTCGCTATGTATTCAAATTACCTAAAAATCAGATATGGGCTGTTTATCTTACTTTTGCAGACTAACTAACATGGTATTATCTATTTCTTATTCAAAATCAAGGATTCAAAGAACCGGAATTTAATCACAAATGAATAGAAAAATACCTATGAATTCTAAATATTCAGAAATAAAGATTCCTTGATAGATCTTATTCGACAAAATGTCCTTGACATGACCTGTTTGTTCCCCGCAACAAGAGGATATTCGAAAACAAGGATATCATAAATTAAAAAGGAAGAAAGGAAGCGAATGAAAACGTGCATCTAGTCACGGAGTAACATTTTGCCATTGGTCTTTGAAGTCAAAATAAAATATCGCAAAGGCGACACTCGCCGATCCATTACAAGATGTTTATCTCGAGACTAGTATCACGTAAAGAGTTCTGAAGGCAAATAAAACAACCATATTCTCCAAAACACGGTGGAACCTCGATAACTCAAATCTCAAGAGAAGAAATAAAATCTCTGTTACGAGTTATCAAAATTTTCGAGTAGCAGAGATTTAACCAACGAGAATTCGACATATATTCTATTTATTGAAAGAAAATGCATGTATCTCCGAATAAATATCAAAGCAGGCGGCTTAGAGTTTCCTTACGAGACTCCACGTGTCGAAGATTGTACAATTTCGGAGAAATTATTCCTTGGAACGCAAGCATTTTGTGGTTTCCTTGAACAGTTTTTGTAATTCCATTACGAGAATCAACTCTGACACTTCTTTCGTCATAGATTCAGTCTAAATGAATTTGTTTTCCAAGAAGATAGTTTCTCTAGCCCCTGTATAATAAAATTTCCAGTCGAGATATTCCGTAATTTTATTACACTTCTATTTTGCATGCAATTGTAGAAATTTTTTGTTATACAGCCAACGAAGGGGTTGTGAAGTAAAAAACAAGTTTAAAAATTCGAAACATCTCCAGGATGGAGATCCAAGGATTTATAAGCTACTAAAATGTTAAATCAACGTGTAGTTTGCTTCCTTATATGTTTCTACAAATCTGTGACTTTATATAACTACTTTTCTGAAATTTCTGTCGTTCCACAAAATAGACGTGTCTTGTTTGCATCATCGTGGATCATCAGGTTTTATATTTAGAATATATTAATAAAGACATGGCAGTTATGCACAAAATAACTGCAACATTTATAAGCTGAACAGTTTCTTGTAAATATAATATTTTCAATTTGTATTTTCTTAATATGTGTAACATGTAAATTATTTATCCCGGTATATATTTACTACATATACTAAAATACTAATTAAAATACTTCGGGAGTTATTTAAAATATTTCTCTCACATTTTCGAAAAAGCCGGCATTAATGTTACGTTACAAATATATTTATATTCTCATATAATATATTTAAATTTTATAAAATTTAAATATTATATATTGTACAAAATCTGGTATTTACAAAAACATATTTCAGAATCTTATCAATTAGTCAAAAAAAAATTAGAAACGTGTGGCGAGTCATTAAGAAATTTATTTAGTATTAATGAGTATATAATCATACATACTCTTTTTATATATTGCTATAGCATTGAAGTTGAATATTTCAATCTATTTTGAATGGACAAACATCTGCATTTTCAGATAATTCACAATTTCTAAATGAGAAAACGCGATTAGTAATTATAAAAACTGGGCTACTTTCTTCACCCTAATCTCTAATTACGTCAGTGAAATAATTCATTATCAAAATTTACTGCACAAGATAGTTCGCGTGTTTGTTACAGGAAATGAATGCAGGTGGCATAACTAATGAAGTCAAAATTTCTTATGTACTTGTTTCACGTGAGTTCCATAATTTAAATCTCCGCAATGTTACTACTCAGCAAGACATAGCGTAATGCACAGTCTACAATATCAGGAGCATTGCATTATTAATTACTTTCAAACATTGTCTCATAAAAGAGTTTTATATTGCAAACGAGCACAGCAGGTCAACGAAATTACATTGACGGGAATTGATCACGTACTTTCATGATATTATCCTACTTTCCTAACGTTGTACGTCAATTTCAAAGTATTACAGGGAGGAACATTCGTATCCTTGTTCCTAATAACCTTTCACCCCAACACAAATTGAAAATATCCCAGCTTTCCTTTCAAATTCTGTCGCGATTGCTCATGAACTACTATTTAGCGTTACAAATTGGCTTTTTACCTAATTTCTCTAGTTCAAATACGGAAAATGGCGCATCATGGCGTAGAGAAAACTCGTGCTCATTAAAAACACTCGAAAGTTAACGATAAACTTGTAGACAATTTATATATATATAGTTATTTCTACTGAATTGATCGAATAGCCAATCCTTAACCTTTTCCATGTTTATATCGAGTATACATGTCACGCGGCAAAAAGAATTGGCTTTTGCTATTTAAAATACAATTTGGATGAAACGAGATACACATTCGAAATTTTTACGCATTTCAGAATAATGACACTTGATTTTTTAATATAAATACCTTTTTAATTTCGAATACCGTTTCCTTCACGAATTAATCGAATTTTTAATTCGGCAAATAATATTAACGAATCTTTAAATAATGAAATCGTGAATTGTCAAGGAAAATAAATAGAAGTTGCTTAAAAATAATTAAGTATAAAAATACGAACTTTCAAAATTAAATATACATACAAATTAAAGATACACCTTCTAAAATTAAATACAGAGAGTAAATAAATAAAATAATCTTCAGAAAAGAGAAAGGATTCGTATTAATTCAATTTCTAACACTACTACGTGGCAATTTGTAAATTTAAATGAGACTAATTTCAGTTTAGATAAAAAAGAAAAATGAATACGTGAATTTAAATGTAGGTGAAGGTGAATCGAAAATGAAACGATTTCAACTATGATTCACCGCATAGCGGATTCAAAGAAAGTGAGAAAAAGGTTGGAAGAGGTGAAGGGTAATGTGTTTTATGAAAAACGTGACTAAAGGGAATTTTTGGGAAGGTTTAAATCGGAAAGTTGCGACCAGTCACCAAGGTTAAAAGCGTAACGCTAATACTGTGCTGACCATTTAGTACCCTTCCTAAATTTACGAGGCAGTCTGAAGCAAACACTTTTTGTGACTTCAGCTGTTACACAATAGTTGCTCAGGAAAAGTGGGATTGTCATAACAGCGATGACGGAATAGCGATGTAATAAGCGAAAGAAAAGTGTAAATTGTACATTAGAAGCAATTAATGGTACATTCCGCGAAATCAAATTAAATATTTTGTGTTCATAGTATAATATAATAATTTGATTTTATAATTATACGTATGTTTACAATATCTAAGTAGAATTCTTTTGTAAATTAGAAGTTAACTAATTCAATTGTATTCCTTGTTAATATTTTTAATAAAATCGGATTATCATATTAGTTTATTTCCGTTTTCAGTAATAAAATTATATATTATTATATAATATTACGTATCATATATTATTCATGATTTTATAATATATTATATACAGCGTTTATTATTTTGAAGTAAATACGTAGTGAGTTATCGTTGAAGGTAGGTAACCTCGAGTACATCGATGATTTAGCTTTAATTGCAATGATAAAATTACGAAATTGTTAGCTGTAAGACCTTTTTACCTTCTATGAGCAATTTCTTTGCGATCTCAACCTGTTTTACTATTGCTAACGATATTTTAATGCTTTACCAGGTGTACGCTCAGAAAGCGTAAATATGCATGAGTACGAGACGTTGATGTTATCAGTGAATCTCAACGTACAAAATGACAAATAATGTGTCTTGCTCACGTTTTCTTTTTTCTGTGAACTTGCATTTCACGTTTAAATATGTAGAAACGTGTATTTGGAATTCACGAATTTTCTGTTTAACGAAATCTCTTGTAACGCATTATTAAGTAACCGTTCAATTTTCACGCGAACGTCATAACGTAGTATTTTCAACGTACGCCAACCATATCACGATTGTCTGACAATCGTGAATATATGCAAGGAATATATGAAATGACTCAGATAATGTTATGCCATTAACAGACTCTGAAACTTGTCACGTTTTCCATTCATGCTTCTTTAGTTCATACTTCATTCATACTTCAAATAAATAAAATGACACATGTGAACGCAAGGAAGATGAAAACATAAAATTATATATTGTTATACATAATATACTATGCAAGATATATCGATATCTGTCCTATTGATAAATAATAAAATAAAATAATAATAATAAATAATAATAAAAAATAAAATAAATTAATTTATTCAATTACTTATTATACTTGTTCGTGCTTTACAGGTAGACTGTCGGCAATTTTTATAGGAATTCTGACGCTCGTGATCGGCATTATTTTAAGCAGCATTCCTTGGGTGGACTATATTATATTAAAGGTATGTATAATTACTTCCTTTCACTGACCTTAATGAACAAAATTTAAATTAATTACCTCCAAGGCTTTATGAAGTTTTTCACATCTATTATGTTTCTCATTGACTCTAATCGTTGACTCTGATCACTTGCAAAGCACCACAAAAGAATGCAAAATCGTTACGCTTCGTTCTTGCATTAATCAGGTTTTGCATTAATCAAGCAAATTATCAGGAGAATATATGTAACTACGTGAAACTGTTTAGCTTATTAAACTCATTCATCAAATCAAATTGTATATGCATAATTAATTACCCGTTTCATTGGACACGCGATACCTGTGCACTGTTCGTTATTTAACAAATTACACGAGTTACAGCCTATTAATATTTACACTGTCAACACGTTTACGAGACTACCATTAACATACCCATTTTATGACGTTTGTAACGGTAATCTAAGGCCCTAGGATCTAGGACGTTGGAAATGTCTTTCAGTGAAATTTAATTTCAAGATTACTTTTAGTTTCGGCTTCACGTATAAGAAAGAAAAAGTTAAGGCAAATGAAGGCGTAGAGGAAAAAGAGCACTAGAAAATTCAGTCACACGCAATGAGATATAGTTATTCAATTTATTGCAAGTACGATGTTACGCGCACCAATTCTGTGCTATTTATCAACAGGAGGAAAACAAAAGAAAGAAAAGAGCAGAAAGTAAAATAAATAAATACTAAATAAAAGACAAACTTTAATATTATTTAAAACACTCGATTTTCATTTGAACGTGAAAACATAGTACCATCAATTTCGTTCTGCTTTTATGATACAGCACGTAAGGATATCATTAAAATCGATAGTGGAAGATAGATTTTAATCATGCATCTGAACGACGGCCATCTTTTCCAAATAACTGCTCCTGGTCACTAATATAGTAGTTCCAATATGCACACCTCGCGAATTATTAGTACTAACAAAAAGTGGAAGCTATTTCCGCGACCGGCCTTGCACTTTCACGAAGAACGAGTTACACGATTTGTAAGTTTCACTCACAATATTGACTTTCAATTATGGCGATTAAATTTTGAAACCAGTTTCTGCATCTATTGCCAATGTCTCAGAATTCGCTCCGTCGATCGATTTCTCTTGACTTCCTCAATCCGTAATGTCTGTTATCGTTTCATTTCTTTTTTTTTATAAAATATCACTCATGGCGATGGAACGAAGGCACGAACTCACGCCTTCACTATTAGCGAACGCATTGATATTTTATGTATACCCATATCATGTATAGTGACTAACAATTCGAACAAAATGTTTCAAGGGAATTTTTATAAATTTCTGATTGTAGTAGAAGTTTGTGCAGATGTAAAACTTTTTTAAATAAAAAATATTTTATTTTACTATATCGCTTTGTGGTAAAAATTTGCGCCCTGAAACTTGAATCGTCGAGTTCACTCTCTGAAAAACATTTTCCACCGACAAAAAAATTACTCCAAATGTAACTCGGTATGCTAACATGTACACGAATTTTAATTAAAGTCAAAACTTTTTAAGTTAAAGAATTTCCTTGAAATATAATATTTCCATTAGCCAGTGTATAATATATTTTGTAATTATTTAGAGAAAAGAATTTAATTTAACTGTAAACGAATATATATTTTTCGGGATAATTAATTACATAGAAATAATGCAAGTGTTGAACTTAGGTTGAGTTATTTTAACAATTTTTATTAGAGTAATGTTGATTTTGTCTCTTCAGCAACTACGATTATGGAATGGTTCCCTTTCCTTCCAATACTGGCAAAAGCCCGGGGTAGTTAGATTGACCAAAGTATACATATTCAATGTAACTAATGCAGAGAACTTCTTGCAATATAACGAGAAGCCGAAATTACAAGAAGTTGGACCGTTCGTGTATAGGTAGGCATTGTAAAATTAATTTTATTTATGAAAGGAGTATTTCAATGAAATATTTCGAATTTATAATTTTACAGGGAAGATATGGAAAAGGTAAATATTGTTTTCCATAACAATGGTACTGTAAGTTATCAACACAAAAAAATATTGAACTTTGTACCAGAGATGTCAAAAGATAAGGACCTCAAAGTAACGGTACCAAACATTCCATTACTCGTAAGTATTATTCTTTTATAACATAATAATTGAAGAAAAATTATTTTCTTAAATATTTGTTTCCATTCCGGTGACACATAAATTCTGAAACTATGTTTTTCGATACCTTATATATGTTTGTATTTCCTATAATAAAGTATATTTTAAGATAAAGGTATTTCATATGAAAATATTTCGTGTGTCTGGTCTATCGTATTTTTGTATTTTTTTAGACGTTATCGACGCAAAGCAAGAGTTTATTACCCATATTTACCTTCGCATTATCCATGATCTTGAGGGGGATGAACATGAAACCATTTGTGCCGGTGACTGCGCAAAAACTCGTTTTCGGATATGACGATCCGTTGGTCAGCATTGCACATCGATTTTTCCCAAAACCGAGACGTCCTATGAGTCAAATGGGACTTCTTCTTGGGGTAAATAATCTTATAAGAAAAATATAAAAATAAACGTGAAAATAGAAAAATATAAAGATATGGAAATATAACTGCTATTAAAAAGCAGATAAAAAGTACAAAAATAAAGGTGTAGTTCAATATCCTTGCAGAAAATGTAGAAGATAATTATTAATAAATTTTCTATACAACATATGAAAGAACTAGAATACATCATCCCACTTTTTATCCTAAATGTGATGACGACAATTTCAATTGCAGAGGAATGGTACGTTAGAAGAAGTATCTACAATATTTACGGGACATACAGATATGAAGGAGTTTGGATTAATAAATCGTTTAAACGGATTGGATCGTCTGCCATATTGGCCAAAGGAGCCTTGTAACTCGATTCGAGCTTCAGAAGGTAAATGTAATTAAATATCAGCTACTTATATTGTATAATTCCAAACGTCCAGATGTCCAAATGCATTATAATTATATTTTATTTAGTGATAGCTATGAAATATTAATTATATGTTATCATAATGATATCCTTTTCTATTACAGGATCTTTTTTCCCACCCCGTGACAAAACTGGTTCCGATATCGTGCATGTTTGGGATAAAGATCTGTGTCGTACATTACCCTTAAAATATCGTGGTCCGACTGAAAAATCAGGAATTAAAGCAGATTTATACACTCCCCCTGATGATGTATTTAGACGTCCCGATGAGAATGCTCCAGAGAATAAATGCTTCTGTTCAGACGACATGTCGACTTGTCCTTCGGACGGATTGCAAAATATTAGTCCGTGCCAATACAGTAAGTACTAACTAAATTATTAATATTTATGAAAATTATATTCATTAATTTTAGCAATTCATTTGTATATTGTTTTCAAACAAGTCATTTCAGAATTATTATAAATGTCTTATTTTATCTTAACATAGATGCTGATGAATGATTTGCCTTGGTGATCAAATCTGTTCAAATCCTTTCAGTCATAGAACTGCTGTCAATGCAATTTATATTATTGAAAATAATTAATATAATAATTAACGATTAAATTAAATATTTTTACACTGATACCTGTAAAAATTAATATAATTATTTATTTTACCTTTACTCATTGGAATTCTTTTTAATTTCTAGGTGCACCGGTTTATCTTTCTTTCCCCCATTTCTACAAGGCAGATCCTAATTTACTAAATGCAGTTCACGGATTGAAACCAAATCGAGACATACATGAAACGTACTTTAAAATTCAACCGGTAGGTGCACTTCTAACAATAAGATTATAATTCACAAAAATAAGTTAATTTAATTTAACAAACAGCTTAATATCGTATAATTTTTTGCAACGTGATTTGTTTATTCCACAGAAACTTGGTGTGCCGTTGGAAGGGAAAATCCGAGTACAATTAAACTTAAAGGTGGAACAACAACCACAGATCGGTGTCGTGTCGAATTTTCCGGACATCGTATTCCCTATCATGTGGCTCGAAGAAGGTATCGAAGAACTGACACCTTCTATCCGCAGATGGGTCTATCTAGCAACGACATTTAGCGATATTGCTGCACCTTGTACCTCGTATGGATTAATTCTAGTCGGTATAGTAATCATATTCGCCGTTCTCGTAAAGGCTTACAACAACGTGATGTTCACGCACGAAGCGATCGAGTTAGGTAAACGGACCATCAGGAGAAGTTCGACGTTGTTGGTGAATGAGTACAAGTTATTAATGACACGAGAACCATACGTTTTGCTCAGTAATGATAAGAACGAGAAGACAGAAAGGATAGAGGTCTAGCTGATAGTATAAATTTTTTTTTTTTATAATACCCCATATATGTTTAAGTGCGTACATTGCGTAGAGTGACGTAAAACTCGCCTCGCTGTATAGCGTTTGTAACCTTTTGATACTGTACACCAAAGTTTTCGTTCCAATTACCTGAAGAATACATCGATACGTATCGATTGCAATAGCACGCGTTTGGCAAACATTCAACAATCACTTGAATATATTTTTCTTATTTTGTTTTTCTTTATCTGTATCTGTGATTTCATCCTTTTATTTATATCGTTGATGTACGGCAGTGCGAAAGAGATTGTGTTTGGACGAACAGAAGCGGCTAACAAAACGGTCAAAAGACAAAGCATAAGAAGCGCGTTTGAAGAATTTGTTTTAGTACATAAGAATTTGTTTTGTATATAAATTTTTCTAGCTTGGTTCATGCACGATCAAAATATAGTGCAATATTAGTACTATACGTTAGATATTAACGATGAACAATAATCGAGACTCGATTGAAACATCGGTTAAAATACGATATTTAGTTTCGACTATTTAGAATTTTGATACTTTTGGGATAAAACTACGAGGGACAAAATTATGGAACTTGTGAAAATTTGAAGCTTCAAACGATCAAAGTAATGCTCCAAATGAAAATCATATGTAATAATATATGTAATGTGTTGCATTTTATAACTGGTGACTAATAAAACCTATTTACTCATAAAATATTAGTTAATAAAATTGATATGTCATTTAAACAATTTTTATTTCTTTGTGTTTTTTTAAAATAAGTACTGTTAGTTTTCAGAATTTCAAACGGTAATCCAATTTTTGACTTCAAGATCTGAATACTATTATTAATTGACGATAAAATTATAATACCAAATGTACGTATTAGTGAAACTAATATTATTTCTTAAGTAAATTTAAAACGTACGAATCTTTTACGTAATATTTTATTTGCAGCATTGAAGAAAATAATTCATTTATTATTCTTAAACAATTATTATTATTTATTGTAACTTAAATTTAAAAATGCGCATTACAAAAGGAAATCTAATACAGTTATATCTGATTGTATACAGAACATTAATGAACGTGTAATAAATTGTAAATTAAATGACTTCTCTGTAAAAAATTATGCTTTAAAATATGCTTGACTTGAGCAGAAGTACGCATTGGACACATCACTATACAACAGTATCACATTTTAGATAAAGCCCAGCAGTTTATAATAACGCAGAAATAATGTTATATTTACATTTTTAATCAACAATCCTCATTCAATAAACTTCACTATTTTTGTTATGCTATGAACTATACATTACAAATAAAATTATGAAGTTTAAATTATGTTAAAATTTCTATAAGAATATAAATAATAATAAAGTCATTTAAAAATTATTGTACTAAATTAGATTGGTTTTAGTAGTTTTTATAATATTCAAATATCCTAGTGGTGTTACTTTCAATACGTTAGATGAGAATATTAGCGCGAAAACGACATATGTTTCTGAAAATTAATTCTGGAAATAATATATAAATTATCTTGAAGAAATCCGGAGATAAAACATTATGTATCAATTTATCTGATGCATGTTACGATTTACCTGATTACGTCAAATTTTTTCTAATTACTTTCTGGTTTTCTGCACTATGACGAGTTAAACCGTGCCTCATAAATGTATTATTTACATGCATAGATATGTTGCACACATCCTTAATAATCTACTGAGTTAAAGTTGTCCAATAAAGATATTAATTCTATTGGACACGTTAAATTTATAGCCGTTTGAATGCACAGCGATTACGAACGAACATAGTACAAATACATCTGTTTTGTTCTTCAATAATATTATACAGGATAAAGGTGTTCTAGTTAAGATTGCACCTATAAATTATACTTAGTGCGATATACTGTTTTTCGTTTCATGTAAGATTCTTTTTTTTGGATTATAGGTGTTTTAATTTCAGTTGATTTAAAAATTTGAAGTATTTAAGCCGACTTAGCAATAATTTTGTAGAGTAAATTATACCTTTATCTCAGAAGACATGTCACTATTGGTGAAGGTCTGGAAGTGAAAAAATTAAGTTCACTTAAATTAAGTTTATGCAATTCTTCGTCTGCTTTGTTGTGTTTCAACTCTTGGTAGGTGTACAAAAATTTATTCCATTCGTCGATTCTCGGATGTGCTAAATGCTATATTCAAAAAAGCGTGATTCCATTAATTGTTTATCCTTACATTATACATTTGAAATAATCAAAAAATGAATTAAAACAACATATTGATAAAACTAATAGAAAGTAATCAAATGCAGACTGATAAAACAATAACCTTACCTCAGCAACATCATATACCCAAATCTTTCCTGAATCATCACCAACGGTTACGTGTAAGCCACTCGGTGTCCACGAAACTCTGTTAAGAGCCGGGGAACCATCGATCACAACACTAGCTGTAGGCACTTCAGTATCTTGGTTGAGATTCCACAGATCTAATCGTCCTGAATCGTCCACAGCAGCAAACAGAGCTGGATGGGTTGGCGACCACGCAACGTCATAAACGTAATCGCCATTGTGTTCGAAAGAGTATAGACATTTGTTCTCTTTAAGGCTCCAAAGTTTGATTGTCCAGTCGATGGACGATGTTAAAAATAGATGCGAGAAATCAATCCCACCTTGTACACCATGTGCACAAATTCCAGTAATCGGACCTTGATGACCTTCGTAAGTCTCTAACACTCCAGCTTTCGCACCGTGACGACAAGCTGAACAAATATGAAAAATCACAATGATTTCTAAGATAACATATTACAATATAAGAGTCCGTAATGTGATGACAAAATTCATTTACCGGAGTAAACGTTTCCATCTTCACTACCTACAGCGAAGTTATTTACTTCGCCAGGAGGGAATGCTAAACAGGTAGCGGCAATCGGTTTCGCTTGTTTACTGTGAAGTTCTAATATCTCGTGCGGTTGTGACAGCATGTCTAAACTCCAAGAGCACAATTTACCATCAGTTGATATGCTTATCAAATTGTGCGCGTTTTGTACTCCAACAACGTTTAAACAGTACACAGGATGCTGGAAGCAGAATGTTTCAAATATTCGTAATGTTAAAATGATTTTACATAAAACATTATATATTATTTATCAAGCAACTTACAGTGTGTGCGCTTGCTGACAGTGGAGTACGTTGAATGGGAGTTCTCTTTTGCACTCTATTATCCCAGAGAACAATCTGTCCGGAGTAAGTACCCCCTATGATTAAATTAGGATGAAATCTTGCAAACGTGGTCGACATAACTGGAGACTGACAATGAAAAATAAACTCTGGAGTCGTTTTCTTGAATTTTGTGTTCCAAACTAAACACACTCCATCGGGATCATTTGGAGTGTCATCATTATTATTATAGGAGGCTGCAAGGAGTTCTGGAAACTGAGGTGACCAGTCCATCGAGGTCACACAACGATTACGAGACCATCGATCACAGAAAAACCATCGGTTCAACGATATACGTTGATGACTCTTTTCGTCCCTACAAAATCGAACAAGTTTCAAATTATTTTAATCCTTAGGAAGCCATTGCTAGATCCATACATTATTACTCTTTAGAAAACTCTGACATTTCGTTAGGAATAAAAGTAATAAAAATGTCCAATTAAATGACATTTATTTTTACTCACATTCCATCTTCGCCATCCATAGTACCAGTGTAATCGCTATAAATATTAACGGATTCTCCTAATGCTCTTTCCACAATTCTACCAGTACGATTAAGGAATCGTTGAAAGTCTTCAGAAAGTATAATCATCTGTTTTTGTTCTTCGCTTAGTTCTTGAACTACAAATTTCATATTTATGTAATATTTATAATATTTATGTGATTAGTATCCTTTGATCTCATGTAAAACTATCTTAATTATTTTTCCTACCCGACAATTGAATTTTAATATCACTTTTGTCTGTCATGAGCTATTAAAATATCATCCCATTTTCCATAACTCAAAAATGCGTCGTTTAACGGGTTAATCGGTTATGTAGTTCAAAAATAATCTAATTATTTAATATAACTACGTTAAAATTTATTTGAAATCGCTCATCAAGATTTCGTTAATATTAATTATATGTCACATATTATGAAAAAATAAGAGAAAAATTACCTTCTTTGGGCTTCTCTTTTTCTTTATCTTGCTCCACTTGTGTAACAGCTGGCTGTACTTCCTTAACCTGTGGCAAACCATGGGGAAGAATTCCAGGTGGAAGCTTGCTTTGGAAACCGTCCATATGCGGCAAACTGTTCTCTTCATCTTCGGCTTGGCCATCATCAAATGTCAAAACTGTGGTGAATAAGCTGGTTCCGTCACGAGTACCCTAATTTCTATATATCTATCTACCTCTGGCAAATGCCCTACTTTGAGAATTCGAATGCGCTACGGCCCCAAAAAAAAAAAAAAAAAAAAAGAAAAAAAAAAAAGAGACAGCTACACCGTCTCGTAAAACTACATAGTAGACTTCATTGGCACCTCCTACTAGATATTCTATATAATATAATAACTGTAAAATCCTATTGCATCAATGTATGCACGAAACAGAAAAGAATAAAGAGTGCAAAAAAGTAAAACGCGATACATTCATGTTTATGCAAATTGTGCAACTCTTCCTTTGATTATTACGGTCAACTTTGAGATATATTTAATTATCGTGTGGTTGGGTCGTCACAAAAAGAAAAAAAAAAAAAAAGGGAAAAAGAAAAAAGAATTTTTCGCAAGTAAATGAAACGTGGAAGCGTAAAATTCAAGGGATGCAACTCTCTTTCAGTAAGCTTTCATAAAAGCATATTAAATTAGATATAGAGAATAAAAATAATAATAACAATTGATTTAAAAATAAACAAACATATATAATACTGAAACAAAAAAAAAAAAAAGAAAAAGGACAACTAGGCTGAATCACATGCACTGACATTAGTTACGTATAAGAAGGTGGACTGCTTGTTGGTGGATTATGCAAATAAAAACTGAACTTTCGTCTGAGATACATGTATTGCAACTGACATGAAAATCATCCGAAACGATATCTCTCCACCCTTCGTTTTAGCGTAAACGCAAATGAAATGCAAGAATGAGTCGAATAAAGTGAAAGATTGATCGATGATTTTTTAAGTGAAGTATACGTTATAAGGTAGCACCAATTATGCTAAATATTTCCAACGAAGCTGTTTTCATTTTATGAATTGCACAGAATTGGAAAATAAAAATACAAAAATTGAGTGGAGGTATATTAACGCAACTTCCCAAGTCTCATGCAACAGCTAGAGAGTGTATAATTTATATAGAAAAAAAAAAAGAAAAAGAAAAAAAGGAGAGGAAGGATGAAAAAGAAAAAAAAAATAAACAAAAATTTTAATCTAGATCTATAGTCTGAAACAAATATTATCTAGCCGTGAAATGAAAATGATTATACGTGGTTTATTATGTTGTACCTCGATCATGCATAGTGAAAGAATAATGAATGATTACCGAAATAAAAAGGGGGAAAAAATGGTAAGTATGTGTGTATGGTACCTACGCATGCATGACGAATGAAGCAAAAATTTGTACAGTCATAAAACAAACCATAAAGGAACTACTTAACAATCTGATAGTTTATCAAGCAACTTCGAGTGTAAACTGATAGTACAAGTTCCCTTCTTTCAGTGCATATAAATACAATAACTGAATAGAAGAAAAAAAACTTGAACGAAAACGTTACTGGATAAATGCAATTTTGTGAAAATGAATATAATTCTTGTATTGGTGATATATAACTAGGTAGAGTGACCGTCTCTAGAGAGGATTACCTACCTGTAAATTCGTCCTCCCATTCTAAACCAGGATTTAGATTGTACTCGTCTTGAAGGAGGGAAAAGAAAATGTCAATCAATCACGTATTTTATTATGTTAGTTGTGTTTGTTTCGAATTTCATGTCTCTCATAGGAAATCATTGATGTACGCAACGAAATATGTATTCGTATATTTTTTGTCCATATAACAGAAACGACTAATTATATCCAGAAGTAGCGCGAAAAATATATGTGTATACTACGTGCAATACAATCGTCGAGTTATTTAGAACTTAATAGCATTTCGACCACGAGCGATTACAATTACGCATAAAGGTCCTATTCGTTAATGTTTTCTTCTTTGTCATGCAAGATACATCAACAATTATCTAGAAAGACTGAAACGACAATATTGGATCGGAGATGGTAATATTAATTATAAATATATTTATAAACATGCAAATAGTATTGTATATAGTATATCCTATAAATGTTATATTTATTAAAATTGTGCTCCAAAGGGATCGATAAAATATATTAGAGTATTTATGATCTTTTTATAAAGCATTTATGACTATACTGATTACAAAATATTCATAAAACCAAATAATATCACTAAAAGGACATTATTATATATTAATATATTTATCTTTTTTAATATTTTCTTTATGTTATTAATAATCACCGTAAATTCCATCGATAATATAAGCATAATTTACAAAATTACTAAATCCCTTCAGGCTTTTAAGTAAACTTCATTTAAAAATCATCATATTATATAACGTTTTTATTTGTTAAGGTTACGATGATAATTTAAGATCTAAGGGAATAAACATTTGTTTAATAAATAAAATTCATTTTAAAACGTAATATTAAAAAATTTGAAACATAAGTTTTTAGAGCAACAGAAAAAAAAAGGATGAAGACGAGGAAAAATTGATAAAATTGAAATATTTTAACATAATAGACTGACATCTCCGACTATGAATTTATATTAACAAGTCCACTTTTTTCTATCCATTTTAAAGATGTGAAACAAAATAGTTTTCTCTTAAAAGTAAAAGTTTGATCACAAAGTTTACATAATACAGAGACACATTTTATTGGAAGAACATATTAATAACGTTGCAGACATGTGTATTATTCTCACAAAATACATTTCTACGTAAATGAACTTTCGCTAATTCAATGAACTTTATTGCTATATCATTTTCACAAAAAAAGAAACCGTGCTGTTAAGAAGCAATATTTGCAGTTCGAACTTTTGCGACACTAAAAGCTCAAGCCACAGAACTCGTTGTTGTGTTCTTTTCTTCTATTTTAATAAAAAGACTTTACTTATACAATATTTACCGACTCCAACACCATAAACATCCGCTCCCATGTTAGTACACTGTAGTAACCCAAAAATTACGAAGGCTATAACCGTGAAATCGCGGCGAGAACTCTGGAAGGTGCGTTAAGTTGTGACAAGATTTGCCAATGGATATTCATAAAATATATCTGTTTCAGACAATCCCAGTTTCAAACAATATCGAATAATTCGATAAATTATTTTAATTTGAAAAATACATCTTTTATTATAGATCTTCAGTATCAAACCTGAATTACGTTATGAAACGATGCTTTATGTTATAATTACACGAAAAATATTTCGGTTAAGGAAAAGAAATATCATTAATCATTGTAATAGATTCATGCATAAAGCATAAACAAAATTTAATTTTTTTATCTTATATAGAATTTTTCGATACTATATGAATAATTAAGTACTCCAAAGGTAGTCTGTGAATTTAAGAAATATATTCATCTGATGCTAGAATAAAATAAAACATGTATTTTGAGTTCAACATTTCAAAAATATGTATATTATGAAGTAAGAATAAATATTTCTATTAAATATCTGATGTATTAAAAACATGAAAATATGTTTTACAATTTAACTTTCTTAACAATATTTTTTATATTCTGTACACTATGGTAAGGGTATAAATTAATGTCTAATTTTTAAAAAGCATATAGGATTACTTTTCGAATTGCAGAGCAAAAATTTATACAAACTGTGTTTATTATTTTTATTTTTATTTTTTTTTTATTAAATTGTCTACAGTGCATGCCTTTATATATTGTGTAAATGTCAAAACATTTCCGTTTGAGAATCGGGATGTCAGATAAATACTTAAAAAATAATAAATACATAAACTGAAGATAAATACACCAAAAAAAAAAAAAGATTAACATAAAAAGTAAAAGAGCCAAAAAGCCCAAAGCAAGATATAAGATAGCAAAGATATCTTAGATTTTGGGTGGAGAGTCATTTGATGTGTCTAAAATACTGATAAATTTTATTCATATTTAACTCACTTTACTAATAAACTTTTACTAAATATTTGAGCTAAAGAGAAAAAGAGACAGAAAGAGAGAGAAAGAGAGAGTGCATTCTCTAGCTTACTAGTATTTAAAGAAAGTTAACCCATGTAATGGTTTTCTTACCTTAAAAATTTATTTTAATGTAAAAGATTTAATTTTCATATGGAATTTAACTACTATATATCATCCTAATACTTTAAACTTGTATCTCATTTAAATATACTTTATATACTGTCAATCCTAAAGAGAATAAACGGAATATATCTAAACCTAAATCTGAACCTAAAACTTGTTGAAAACCAAGAGAAATCATAACTTACCGTAATAGTCGAATGCATGAGCTGAGAAGAGGAGGGAAAAAAATTGCACTTAGTTACAATCTTTTAAGAATGCACTACACTAATAGCACCTCTCTACACTCAGACCATAAGCATTTTAAGAAAAAAGGTTCATTAATAAAATATCTAAGAAAAATCAGATGAAAAAGAACACAATACGCAATACTGTTATGCCAAATGTTTATAATCAAAACTTTAAATAACATATTTTATTATTACTAAAGAAGTTACAAAGCATTCGTAAAGTTCTTTCTCATTAAGTGTATGTTACATTTGTACAGCTTAGTAAAACTAAGTGCCCTTATAAATTCAATTATTTCTTATAATAATTGGTTACAGGTTAAAAAGAATTGATTTATAGCAAGAAAAAAAACGAAAAAAAATTTGTCTCTTTTATATGCTGAATGTAGTTAGGTGGGTATAGATTTGTAAATTTTTATATTGTGCGGTGCTGCGATTCCTATATGTAAGAGGAAACATACATATTCAATTCTTCTTACATCATTGAAGTACATTTTAATTAATGTAATTTCAATCTCTGCCATAATTCAACACCTTTTAAATTTTACATTGACCATTCAATATAAAATAATAAGGAACTTGTTATCTAATGTGACTACCAATGGATGCTTATCTATAAGCAAAAGTCAATATCTCACTTACATCCCTTGTCACACTTATTTCCACCCCCCCAAGTGTCTCAGAAATATATTTAACCATGATTTAGAATGCGCTATGTTTTACACACTATAATAAACAAAAAACAAAGTTATCACACAAAAACATGTTTAAAGATTGTATTTCTTTTTAAGAATTAAACAAAATACTAAACAATTGGATTGCTAACATATGATAGTAGTTTCTACTAATTAGGACAATGATGATGTCTACAAATATTCATATGCATAAATTATTCAAGCATCAACTATAATTATTTATCTGTTTAATAAATTTAATGCTAGCACACATGAATCAAAAGTACATTGACTTTTTATTATAATAATCTTTAAATTTTCCCAACAAACAGGACGCCTGATGTTAGTGTATTGTATAACCTTAATAAACTGTTAGTGTATAATTCAATTAAATTATATAAAGCATATTAAAAGCTTATTTATGCAAACAAATATATGTTGTACATGGAAGAAATAAATAAAATGTATATACAACTGAATGATGTTACTTTAATAAAATTTAATATTTTCAAAAGTTGCTTCCTTATATTTTATATATACGTATACTTTAAAATATTTATATACTGAATTTAAAACTCATTCTTAAGAATAAAACATAGGAAATCATTTAAATTCTTTAAATTGTTAAAGGTACAATACATATGTTTATCTCCATATACAACATTCATAAATCAATTAGGATTGTAGAATCAATAAGGATTAAATTATAATTCAGTTCATTTTGAATAATATTCAATAATATGTAAAAATATAAATAGAAAAATCATTTTCTAATCTGATTCTACACTCCTTGGTAATAAATATAGAGAGCCATGTATCTACCTCTATTATATACTGTTGAACAACAATTATAGGAAAGGTAATAAAAAGAAGACAGAACATACATAAGTAGTTTGGTGCAGACCCACCTTTCCTGGGACGCCACCAGTCAGTCTCAAAGTAGCCTGCGGAGTAAGAGTGAGTTGGTGTTGTTGTTGAACAGGAGGAGTAGATGGTGTATGCAGAAGAAGATGCGGACAGTCCTTATGTCCAACACCAGTTGATTTGACCATTTGTATCGCAAGACAATGGAATACGCGTAAATTTAATAATGCCGCAAAATCAGTTAGGTAACAGGACACGCATGTAACACGTAATACATCCCAATTTAAACTGAATATTTTTTGAAGTCAACAATCACTATAAGCAAGATATATTACTATTAAAATAATAATTTTCTTAACAGGTAAATTTTTATTTTAAAAATAATATATTTAAAATATATTTAAAATCGATATCTGTATAGCTTAATTATAAATCTGTAGTAAATTGGTGGTATGAGAAATAAAATAATTTGCAAGACATCAAAATAAAAGATATTAAAAAGCATAAAAATATTTAAAAAATAAAGTTATAAAATAAATTAAGATTAAAAAATTACAACTAACTGAAATTGCGGTTAAATAAAACGGAAGTAAAAAATAATAAAAATAAAAGATGTTTATATCCACCACCAAGAAAAATAATATATGTTTCCACAACCCAATTTTGTGTTAGGTGTTATATATTTCTACTCATACTTTTCCTATATAATATGTAAGAATTTACAAATCAAAACATCACAAAATTTACCATGTAACTGTTAAAATACCCTTAGACAAAAAGTTTATTACAGCCATAATAAGATTTAGACAACAAAATAAAAACTATAATAATATTTTTCTAAACTTAAGATCGTGATACTTATGTATGTGTGTGTATGTATACACACGTATATATCATCACAAATCATAATATAATTATTATTTGTTTAATAACATTGAAATTATATTACATCTTTTTAAAGTGTTTAAATATTATTGGAATGTATATTTTATATTTAAGAATATAGTTATTTTTTCACGTATTTAAGGACATCGTAATTCAGTAGGTATGAAAGTAAACAGAAACACTTTAAATGATATTTTGTCTGTTTAAGAAGTGTTGAAAACTATTGGAAACTTAGTTCAAAGAAATACACACAACAAAAAAATAAATAAAACATTGATAGCACTAGAAATATATATCATGCTACTTTTAAATATAAACATATTTTTAGAATATGTAAGTTTCCTCATTAGTTAAAATTAATCATAAAACACAATATAAATGAATAATGTGATTCTCATTGTTATCACAATAAAATCAATGTCATAAATAAAATAAGTTACACTGATGTGACTGATTGTACATTACAATCAATGAATCATATTAATTAAAATATTATATAATACTGTTAAAATTTGGTAACTGTATTAGGTAACTTATTAATAATATTATTAATGGTATATATGTCTTAAAATATACATTCTTATATACACCACCCACTTTACCATATTCAACCATATGTAGGCATATGTGAAAGTGATAGCATTGTTTAAAACATTAAAAATGTGTCAATTTGTAATCCTTTGTATCCTTCTTTAAATAATTAAAAAAAATATAAACATTTAATATGTAACATCTAATAATAGTAATAATAATAATAATTTTTATAATCCAACTGAAATTTTAGTTTTGGGTATAAGTCTCTGAAAACTTTTTAAAACTGACTTTTAATAGTTAAAATAGCTGAACTCTCATGAAAAATAATAAAAAAAGAGGAACAAAATGAGGAATGTTTATACAAATATTTATTTTTAAAAATATCAATATTTGGAAAATCAATTATATCATGTGACCAATCTTGGTTTACCATTCTATAAACCACTATATCTATTTATATTCACTTATTATTATGATGCTAAAATAATTTCAATTCTGTTTGTTCTTTAATATTACTTGTGTGCTTTTCTTATTAAATTATTTTAAATCATTATGATAACAACTCATAGTAACAAGGAATTTTACAAAAAATGTACCAATTATAAACACATGTTGAATATGTGAATAAATACGATCATCCACATAGAAAGAAACAAAATAACTAAAAGTATTCTTTAATCAAATATTAGCTATATATAAAAGCATACGAGTCAATCCAATATTTAAAAAATTATCTGAAATAAATTGTCTCCAAAAGAAAGCTTTGTGAAATAATTTTACTTCATATCTTTTTTCACTTATTTTATGTTTCTGTTATAATTTTATTTGGATTTTGTATAATTATTTGAATATTTATTATGAGGAAATATAAAGTTTGAATACATTTCATCAAACTTGCACTGGCAATTATAGAATACAAAGGATTAACAACAGATGCAGTAATATACAATAGTAACATATATTTCATTATAATATTTATGAAATAATTTTCTTATATTAATATAATACTTTAATTTAATTAAATTAACATTAGTGTAACACAAATACTAAAATTTTTTAAATAATTGTATATATTTTTAAATTCACAATTAAGAGCAACACAAAGTGCAATAATTTAAAAATTGAATATTGTGACTCACCGTCGTGAGATGTGTGGGATGTCTGAATGGTTTGTGTTTGTTTAGTATAAACCACTGGTTCCTTTGGTGGAATATTGGTATGTGCCACAGAAACAATTGTTAGTTCACGATTCTTCTTCCTAGTACTGCTGCTATAAAAGAAAAATACAAATGGAACAATGTAAACATATCTTTATAGTACCAAATGAAAAGTTTTCTAATATGATGTAAACACCTTTGAGCAGAATTTATACTAGATGGTTGTAAACTAGCATCAGGAGTAGCATTAGCACTTTGTTCTGGAGTCAAAGAATTCATACTAGATAAACTGGATAATACATCTGTAAATAAAATAAATTGTATTAAAAAGATATTTGTAAAACTACAACAAAATAAAACCAAGATACAATTATTTACCTGACACTGGTGCTACGCCCAAAGAAGAAAGCATAGCATCTAATTCTTTTCGGTGGTCTTTATCTGTTCCCGCAGCACGAACTGTAGCCTCTTCAACCTTTAATTCAAAAATTTAAGAAATAAATAAATGTTGAAGAAGATTATAAATTTGAAATTTAAACAAAAAATTCTTACATCTTTCTGTTCTTTTTCTCTTCTACGCCTTTCTTTTTCCTCTCTAATTGCCTGAAGCTTGGCTTTCTTTCTTTCAAGTTCTGCTTTTCTGTCAGACATCATTTTGTTGTTCTGTTAATACCTAAATAATATTCGTAAACACTTTATTAATAGAAGAATTTGATAATCCATGGAGTCATTTTGAATACATTGCAGAAATTATAAAATCCTTGACAGATTTCGCGAAACATTAACGGAACTTCAACCGGATTTAGTACGATTATTGATTTCTCTTCTATGACGTCAATTTCGGATCAATTTTTGTTCTATAGATATATGTATAAAAATCATGAATTTTTACAATTACAGAAAAATAAATGATTTGATTAGTGGGAAGTATTGCATACAAATGAATAGCACAATAATTAATATTCACATTACGATTTCAGCATTGCATTTAATGAAGAATGCCCATCTGTCATGTAATAATATTCATACAATGAATTAATGTAAAACATTTAATTTTTGACGAAAGAACATATAAAACAGTCACCTTTTGTCGTGTAACGTATTTCACGGGTATGAATGATAAAAATTGTCGTAGTTTCGACTTCTACATCATCTATTCGACCCGCCCGACATGCAAACCTTTTACATCGCAACAACAGCACCACTGTATCAATACCTTGTACTAACGGAATACTTGACTGACTACTATACAATTTCTTGTATATCCATAAGCATGGTTTATAGATGCTCTCGTTAGATGGCAGTAATCTCCAATAAATCATGATGTATTATTATGTTTAATTAAAAAAATAGATATTAATGTTGAAATATAAATATCTGTTTAATAATTTTATAAAGAGTTAAAACTGGTAAAGTTTGTAGTAGTGATTATAAATTTCATAGCAATTTTATAAATATTTTTGAGAAAGTTATTTGAAGAAAAAGAATACATAATAATTTTAATATTGCCAAAATATGACGATAATTTTATTATATTATATAAATAGAGTACATATTTAAAATATTTGAATACTCTTTTTATGTTAGGAATATTTGATTTTATACCGTACAGTACTGTAGTGCCCTCTTGCGGCGGAAATAAAGTCAGTTTTTGAGACGTCGAATTCGAACTCGACGTATTTTAAAATTTGATCGCGTTATTTTAATTTACAATTATTGAATAATGATAAACGTGTATTAGAGTGATGTTAATTATTGTGTGCTATGTTGTAAGATTATCCAGAACTTGAATCCATAAGAAAGACGTCAAAAATAATTGTAAGTATTGAATTGCATTTTCGTCTCCACTCTGCAAAACTTTTGTTAGGCGCCATAACCATATTTCGAATTTGTCGACAATAATTATACGAAATCATATTGCCACTTCTTGCACTTCTTTTGTTATCTATAACAAGTTTCTATTTGAAAATATGCATCAAAGTAAGGAATTGGGAAAGATACACGTGAAAAATTGACCAGAATCTTATATGTAGAATATATTAAAATATATGCCATATTAATATCCATGTTCCTTATGAAATAGAGTTTTACATATAACATGGCGACATTGCAGTGACGTAGTAGTACAAATAGCATATAAACATATTATCCAAAATAAATGTTTGAAAGAAATGGAAGGGAACAATAAACGACACAATTACTTTTTTTACGATTTTTAATGGCTTAACATCTAATGTTACAATATATATTTTGTATTCATTATTTCAATATATTCAGTGCAGGCGGGAAATTCAAATACGAAGAAATCAAAATTTGTTATATAGGTAAATCGTTATCTAACAATTTATCGAATAAAAATATTGATTCAATTGAGATACTTTTGGATATATTTTAAGCACTTGAGTATTACGTAACTTATGTGTATATGTATATAATATATAATGTTTTATTCAAAAAGATTTAAAGTTTAATGTGTTATTTAATCAAACATGGTTAGTAAAATATTTTCTTAATAATATGGAGAATATATGTACATAATACATACATACACACGCGCGCTTGTGCGCGTGTATGTATATATATACATATATATACATAAGAAAATACAAAATTATTTAAGTATATATATATTTATTTATTTTTTTGTTTATTCTAATTTTTTCATCTTTATTATTATATATATAACGAATAAAATGCAAAATGCTATAAATACAAAATTCAGTGATGCATAATTTGATTATTAAACATAATCTTGGATCATAATCAAAAGTTTTTAATAACCATATGCCATTTCGTCAAAACATTATCGACTAAAATCTCGGTAAGAAAATTTGCAATGCACTTCACGTTACAAAGTAATTGGTATTTCGTTGAAATAGCGTTTTGGAGGTAAGCCGAAGAGAAAGGGTAAGGGAAGAGAGGTGATCGTTATTAGCCAGGCAGCATTGGGACACACGATCAAAGAAGTTTTCTAAATTCAGCCAGAAAATTAGCTTGACACTAATTTCACGTGGGAGCATAGGCAAGGCTAAGAAACCAGGAAAAAGATTGGCCAAAGGGGAGGCCATAGTTCGCGTGTTGCTTCATACCGACTTCGCGTGTCGAAGTCTGATTTGCTTTGTTGAATCAAGTGTATACCGACTGCTATATCGCGCACAAAAGCGAATGAGATAGTGCATTTTTCCTTCTTTTATATCCTGTTACCCACTCCGACTTCGTTATTTTCGTCAACAATTAGATTCCCGATAGAATCACTGATTGTCAGTCTCTTTGTCGAATTTTAAAATCGGCATTATTAAAGTTTCCGCATTAACTCGATCCCTCTTTACTTTTACGCAAAAGAAATTCACGAAGTTGTATTTTAAATACCTTCTGCTTGATAACATTTCGTCAGATAGTACTGATACAATACCGAGAAATTCAATATACTACCTTGTTGTGGCTTGTAATTTTTATTTCGTTTTATACTCAGTTGCAATTCAATATCACTTTTAATTAGGTGATATTCGATTACAGGAAACATAAATTTTAGTATTTAGTAGGTACATCTTTTTATTGACAAATTTATTATATTTAAAGTTTAATAGATAGAAAAATGAAAATGTATAATGTTGTTCTGAAGAAGTAGAAGATTTTAATCATGAGTTTGTCTTCTTCGAGTAACACTAGTAATTACTTTAATTTTTAAAGTATTGTCGATATGTCGACCAGATCGTTTATACATTCCTTTCTTGAATAATTATTAAATAAGTTACGTTACCTGTTAAATAAAACATAATATTAATTTAATATTTCAGTTTAACATATATCCCAATACTATTTTAATCATGTTGACTAAAGCTTTGTGTACGTAATTTAAGCGAATGTTATTTGTAGAGCGCAAATAAAGATTTATCGATGTACGTACACAAACCACAGGTTCAAATGAAATTTGAATTTTATAACCAGGTTATAAGTATTACATATATATATATACCATGATTAAAAGTCAAGCATACAAAAATAATTATTTGCTTCTTTGCTAGGATACTCAATTTTTTCCACTAAATATTGAATATTATGAAACTTCCAAAGAAAATTGTCACTGATAAAAATGATTTTTCTCCACATTTTTCTAATTGGGAACGTAATTTATCAAAATTTAAACGAATAAAAGAGTAAGAAATATATTGTATATTATATTATAAATTATAAATCAAATAGATTATATATGACATATTATATAATATTAATATATTATAATTACATATCATGTAGTATGAAATAATATATGTATATGTAATATATAATATAAAATATATATTATACATTATATATTTAAAGAATAACATATCTATATTATTCTTATCTTTTTTTACTTTTTAATATACATATTATAAAAATATATTAATATTATACAAATATATTCTAAAAATATTTTACAAAGAAATGTCTAGTAGCTTTTTTTGATAAATGCAATTTACGTCTTATTCAATCGTTTCTCTAGATTCTCGTATTCCATCTGTATTAGCCGAAACTCGGTGATTTGTCGAATTCGTAGTGTTATGAATACGCGTTGTTGGCTATATCCATTACGTGTCCCGCAGGAACCGAATATCCCGCTAATATTTCGCCGGTCGGACAGTAATGGTAGATAGCCAAATCTCGCTTTTCAGGAAAAGGAAACTAGAATTTACATGGATTTCCTTTCGACGTTACGTCGCAATTTCTGTTTATCGTGTCGGAAGCTATGTAGTCTCGTCTGTTCCCACGGACCTTGTATGTTTGCCAGATAAGTGGAAAGCCAGTGACGTAGGTCAAACTTTTGGTGGATTTACGGAATCTGAAATTCGTAGCAGCGTAAGCGGATCTCTGACCCCTCTGGTCAAACGAGTAAAGGTCAGCCTTGTCCGGTTTTCGGAGTAGGAAGAGGGAAAGTGTGGAATACTCTATAGATTAGCAAGAAGACAGGAGTTGATGGCCTCCAGAGAAAGTACAGATGAACGAAGGGATGAAAGAGGATGGAAGTAACCTCACATTTGCCACAGACTCAACTGATGAACCACCTAGTGGACTAACACTGGTCCTGAAAGCTAGAAAGCAAAGTTACAACAACGTACCGCGTTTCATCTCTCTTAGTTACTTCATTACCTGTCCCCGCTTGCACCGTAGCTTTCATACTTTTATGCTTTTAACCAGTGAGTTGCTCGCTTAGTTAACATCCCGTGGTCTAAACAACGATTTACGGTTCATCTCTAAAAATTTCATCAACGTGGCATTATCTGTACCTGCTTCTCGTGATCGTTTTAGGATTCTTTTCTTGTATTTCACACAGTACTAATGAATATCGTTCCCTTCTTTTTCGTCACTTATTTAATAACAATTTTGTATTTTATCGTGACGAAATTTTTGTTATTTCGTATTTCAATTCAGCAAGAGCTTTTACGTATTTCGTTCACGAAGGTGTATCAAGTAATATTAGCCTTTAACTAGCGATCTAATACCGGTATTGTATGAGTGAAATTATACTGAAACCGATGCAATACCGAAATTGACTATAATCAAAATATCAATACCGATATGGTATTAAAACCGAAATGATGTATTATCGAAAACTGAAATAAAAGCCAATATTATTTCGGGACTCTATCAAAGAAACCGACATATTTATTGGCATTTATACCTATAGGTTTCGTTTGAGCAGGAGTTCTTACTCTCAACTATTGATACCAAGTAATTGACATCTTTATTCCTCTATTCCAATCAACGAGACCTTAATTTTCTGCATATCCATTAGTTAGTTATCTTTCAATCTCCACTCTAATATGCCTCCGGAGAAACTATGTCTAGAACCTGGTTCTCGGTAATCATGACTTAACGATAGAAAATTAATTTTCCAGCCGAATGAAGGATGTTTTCTGAAATATCTTTAATCTTTACGAAATTATTTGCAATTATATTCATTTATCCCAGCGATTCCTTAGACGTTTAGCTGGAATTGCGGACAGAGTAAGTAGAGTTGAACGACATGAAAAGCGTTCAGAAAAGTTCATCGACGCTAATACACCAATCAAACGGAGATCGTATGCTCGACGCAGTTTACCTAAAGGTTCGGTAAAATCAATACTCCGTAAGCTTCCTCATACGAAAAACCCGTTAACGCGATATTATCGGCCCTTTGAATACTAATTTCCACGATATGCTGTGCGCCAGATAGGTAAG